CTGCCACAGGGCTGGGCAGTGACTTGGCACTGGGCTTGGTGTATAGCCACTGAGCAGGGCTCTCCGCCCCTAGGAGTGGTGGGGAGGAGCCCCATCCCCCAAAGACATCCTCCCCACTGCTGCTGTCATCAGGCTTTGGGTGGCAAGGCTGGAAGGCAGGTGAGGCCGGGCTGGGGTGGAGGGAGCCGAGAATCAGGCAGAGGCATTTGGCCTTGGTTGCCATAGGGATAATCACGCTGACACTCTCGGTGTGTGTCATGCTTTCCAGTTTCACTGAACATTTCCTAATGATAGCAGCACCCATGAACGGATCCCTAACCCTGAACAGGTACTGCCCCTGGCAGGTGGGGATTGTTAGCCCATTTCACAGATGAGGTACCTGAGGCCCAGAGAGGTTATGTTCTTGTCTAAGATCCACAGCTAGTAAGAGGCAGAATCCTAGGTCTGGCCACAAAGCCGCACTCTCTCCCGACATCACACCTCACATGCCTGAGTTCACTCAGCCCTCAGATCTACTGATGTTAAACCCCAGCTTCACCCCCACTCTATGCTCACGCTTCTGCAAGAGGGAGATTAGGGCCAGGAAAACCTGTCCTGATTGGCAAGGAATTTCCCCAAATCTCAGACATTGCTGGGCCCTGGACAGCAGTGTTTTCCTGGAGTTTATTTTGGGGTGAGGAGGTGGCCCAGGTCAGTCGGCCCATCAGGGCACTGTTATACTGTTTACTGTTATACTGTTTTGTGTGGCTGCCTTTGCTGCCAGCCTGTGGGTGACTCAGCCTCTTAAAGTCCCACGGGTCCCAAGCCCTGAACAGTGGGCCACAGCCCCAAAGACCCCAGAAGCACAGAGATGGCCAGACCGGCCCTCCTTTGACTCAGGATGTCATGTCCAATTGACTGCTTGGCTGGACAAATGGGAAGAGAAGGAAAATGATGGACCAGGGGAGAGAGGAAGGAAGGAAGGAAAGAAGGAAGGAAGGAAGGAAGGAAGGAAGGAAGGCAGGCAGGCTGGCTGACTCAATAAGGAAAGTAAAGAAATGAATTAAGGAACAAATGGTTGCATGCATGAGTGAATACAGCACATGACCTGAGTTCAGGGTCAGCAGACAGGTGATTACCCTCCTGCTTCCATCTGCTCCATTTTCTGACACCCCCACCCCCATCCTCCCTGAGGCCTGGAGTCCCCTTCTGTTCCAGCTGAGTCTCTGCTGCCCCCGTGTGGTGACTCTGCACCGTCATCACTTGCTCTGCTTGGGGTTCCTGGCTTGGGGTGTGGGGTGTTTATGGAATGAAGGGGAGGGAAAGTGGGTGCCAGGGCCGTGGAACGTCCGAGTCCAGTCCTGCCCTTGAAATGACTTGGCTGGGGACACAGGCCCTTGGCTCCTCACACCTCCCCGTGTACCTTCCCTCCCTTTCATCCCAAACACCAAATCCCAAGAGTTCCTCCACCCAAAGCCGTGACCTCACGTTTACTGAGCACCTACTGTGGGCCAGACACCTGGCATGTGTCATTGTATTCCATCCAATGAAGTGTATAATTCTTATACTCTGACAATCGAGGAAACGGAGGCCCAAAGATCCCACAGCTGGTAAGTGGAGGAGCTTGGGTTCTAACCCAGGCAATGGGGCTCTAGAGCTCCAGACACAGAAGCCCCAGAAGTCAGAGTATGGGGGGCCGCTAGAGACTTTTTATCCAATGTGCTCATTCTTGGGGAGGGGCTCAAGAGGAAGGGACTTATCACACAGCAAGTAAGCAGCAGACACAGGTGTGTGGCAGGCAGAACCCCAAAGGGCCTCTTCTCTCTAGTTTTCTTCTGTCGGGCTCCCCAAGACCAGCTCAGCCTCAGTGGCCATTTGACTGGAGCCCAGGGCCGGGGACGCAGCCCTCTGCCCCGCCTCCTCTCCTGCCTCCCCATTATGGACCCTTCTGGGTCGAAGGAGAAGGTTGATTATGGGGGTGGGAGAGGGTGGGGAGCGAGGGAGCCCCGTGACCCAGTCTTGATGTTTATGTAGCCATTTGGATCGTCCCTTCCGGTGTCTGCGGTCCCAGACGACCGCAGGCAGGAGAGAGGAAGGAAAGTCGGAGCTGCAGGCGCTGTGGGCGATAAACTGGCTGGTCCTGTTCCTCCCACATGCGGGCCTGCCTGGCCAGAGCTGCTGGTCAGGCCCGCAACCTCCACACCTGTCCTCTTGGGTGGGGCTCAGTCTACCGCTGAAGGCTCCCTGACCGAGGGGGCCTGGGACCTTCCAGGCTGGCCCATAAGCCCGGGGTTGGAGGAAGGGGGAAGAGGCGGAAAGAGATGGGAGCAGCTGGGCCTGGGCCCTGTTGAATGAACTTAAAGGCAGCCGGGACCACCCCTCACGAAGCCAGAGCAGCCTGCTGATGTCCCTCGTTTCCAAAGCTGCTTGGAGGGCTCCCCTTCCTGCCTCCCTCCTTCTGACTTGCTTCTGCCCAGGACTTGTCTGTGGCTCCCCACTGCCAGCAGGACAAGGACCTTCGGTCTCCACCCGGACACGAAGTCTCCTCAGCTCAGCCACACCTGGTCTCTGTCCCTAGACCCATGCCACCCGTGTGCGGGCAGTTCCCCTGCCTGGAGGCTCCTCTCCCTCCTCATGTCCATTCTGCCTGCCCTGCAGAGCCAGGGCTCATGTTTCCATGACCTCTGAGCTTTCCCTGGCGGCAGCCTTCACAGGCTCCTGCAACAGGCTGGCTGGTTGGTTACCTGCCTCCCCTGTGCTGGGAGGGGGTTCCACAGAAGCTCTTTACTGTCAGGCCTTAGAGTGGGCGGGCCCCCGGGGGTGCTGGGAATGTCCACCCAGATCCTCCTCCTCCCATGCTTGCTGTGATCTCTCAGGGGAGGTCCGGGGAGGGGGAAACCATAACAGCCTGGGATCCAGAGGGGCTTCTGTTTCCCCTCAGCCCCACTCTTCAGGAGCTGGGGAGGGGGCAGTGCTGCCTAGTGGTTAAGAGCATGAGCTCTGGAGCCTGAGCTGGAATCTCAGCTCTAAGCCTGTTAGGCTGTGTGATCTTGGGCTAGTTACCTAACCTCTCTGAGCTTCAGTTTCCATATCTACAAAAAGGAGATGACACAGTGCCTACCTCTAAGTGTTAGAGGTGCAGGCTGCACACCAGCATTCACTGACTCGTACAGCCCTTCTGCCCCCAGACCTTTCCTCTGGGTTTTTTCGCGCCATCTTCCCCTAAAGCAGTGGTTCTCAACCTTCCTAATGCCGCGACCCTTTAATACAGTTCCTCCTGTTGTGGGGACCCCCAACCATAAAATTATTTTTGTTGCTACTTCATAACTGTAATTTTGCTACTGTTATGAATCATAATGTAAATATCTGATATGCAGGCTGGTCTTAGGTGACCCCTGTGAAAGGGTCGTTCGTTCGACCCCCAAAGGGGTCGCGACCCACAGGTTGAGAACCACTGCCCTAAAGGCTTTAGCAAGGTTGACATATCAGCCAAGTTTTTGTCTGCTCCTGCTCCTGCCCTTTTCCATATGCTCTTCCCTCTACCAGGAATGCTTTTTGGGCCTTATCCACCCTTTTGGCTTTATGCTACTTCTTGCCCTGAAGGCTCAGTTTGGCACCACCACCGGGAAGCCTTCCTTGATAGTCCCCACTGCCATCCTCCCCACCAGGCCTGGCTCATGGCCCCTTGAGTTTCCCAAGCAGTATGATGGCATTGGTCCTAGTCATGGTCTCCCTAACCAGACTGGGGCCACCCCTCCCTGCCCCTCCCCGCAGCAGGGACAGCATGGGCCCAGGCCTGAGTCCCTGGTTCCTAAAGCAGAGATGAAGGTGTTCGGGCCGAGCAGGGCTCCTGGAAGCCCCCTCCTTCCTGCCCCAGCTTTATTTTGGTTCTAGAATCATTCCAGTCAGCATACTCAGTCCCCACCACGCCCATCCGGTGCACAGTCAACACGTCATGCAGTTAGAGGGGAGGGAAGAGAGGGGAGCGGGGAGTCATGGCCTGCACTGCACAGCCCTGGGGTAGGAAGAGTCTGGGCTCTCCCCGGCTGCAGAGGCTCGCCCGCTGTGTGTCCCCGGACCCTATGCTGGCCTGGGCCGTGCAGACCTCCTGGTGCCGGGCCCTGGCTGTGTCACATGGGGAGAGCCACAGTCCTGCCTCTAGCCCCCAGGCTACCCTGGGCCTCCCACTGTGGTCCAGCCACCCTCTCCTGCCACATCATTGGGGATAACCAGTGGGCCTGGGTGTCCCTGGCTCACCAGGGCCAGAGGCAGCCAGCCCAAGAGCCCATGTGCTCCCTATGGATTGCCACATGGAGTAGATAGTGGCCCCCCCGCCCCCCGCCCCATCCCTTTGAACCAGCAGGGACACCCAGCCCTCAGCTATGAGAGGTGCATGGCTGCCTGTGGAGGATGGAAGCCGCCTAGGCCAGTGACCCTTCCTCCCACTGGGGGTGGGACAGAAGCCAAAGATGATGCCTGTGGGGGTGACAGCCAAGCCCCTTTCCTTTGGAGCAGGACCCCTCTGGGTGCCATTCACACTCCGAGCTTCCCCAAGCCATCAGGCCGAGGCTAGACTCTGGAAGCCACAGCTTGCTCGCTGCTCCGGCTCCCTCTCTCCCCGACTGGTTTCTCCTGAGGGCTGTCCCCTGACACCCCGTGCCCTTGAAGCCTCATCTCAGGGTCCTGCTTTGGAACGTGCCCTAGGAGCCACTGCCTTCCCAGCCTCACAGTCCGTCCTGACCCCTCTTAACTGTCCTTCGATGCCACTGCTCAGGCTGCCCCTCCCTCCAAGGCCCAGCCCAAGGGTCTCCTGCTCCATCACCGTGTCCTCTCAGGGGCCTGCAGCCCCCAAAGGCCTCGCCCACAGATCCCCTGCCGTCTGTGTTCTGGCCGCCCCACCACCCCCCAGTCCCCCCCAGGCTGCAACATCTCTGCCCAACAGTGCCCAACAGGGCCTGGCCTGGAAGGACTCGAGTAAATGCCGTGAAACCAAGGCCTGGAGTGCGAGGGACTAATCCGGGCCTCTGCGGACCTCTGGGTCTCCTAAGGGTCGTGGTTCAAGGGAGTAGGTTTCAGAGGATGATGCTGAGCCAGTGTCCCATGTGGCCTGCGGGGCTCTGCTCGGCCTGGTCTCTTGGTCTCTTCTCCTGCCCGGAGAGGCCCTTGTGTCCACCACAGTGGGCTGAGGACTGTGTGCAGAGAAGCCCACCTCCCTAATGCTCAGGCTTGGTCACTCTCAGTTCTTTTCCTTGTCCCTCAAATCATAGCTCCCATGTAGTCCCGCAGTCCCCGTACCCTCGCCCCCCCACCACCCTGAGCCCTGCCTGGCTGGGCCACCATTCACACTGAGCAGATCACCAGGACAGAGGCTCTTGTCTTCCTGGCGTCTTCGAGGTCTGTGTCTTGTTCATGTCACGCCTGCTGGTGCCTGCACAGCGCCCGGCCCCCAAGACTTGCTCTGTTCTAGTGCATGGCCCAGCGTGGCGCTGGCCGCCCAGCCAGGGTGGGATATGAGGAGGTCTGAGGCCAAGGTCACTCCAGGCCGAGGGGCAGACCGGTTGGGGATCTCAAAATGGGAGAACAATGGGTCAGTGTCCGGCTACAGCTGGTCCTCATGGGAGAAACTCTGGCTCTTTCTCCACTGCAGTCTAGATCGAGGGACCGAGTTGGCTCATGAGGAGTCCACCGGGGGACCCCAGCATTCATGGCTCCAGCCGGACAATGGAGAAGGGTGTCACCCCGGAGCTTGCGCCAGGCTCCAGGCAGCTCAGGTGCCCCTCCTGGCCTTGCCCCAGCTGCTAGTTTCGCCGGACGGGGTGCCACATGGACACAGGCCTGCGCAGCGTGGCCAGCATCTGGTTCCAGTGTGTGGTGCCCATGCCACTAGCTGACGGCCCGATGATGACATGGCCTATGTTGTCCCCATGGCCATCACTGCTGCTCTCAGCCACCGTCACACGGAGAGACAGGTCCTGAGGAAGAAATGACGTGAGTGCTGGGGACCAGGGGCCGTGCCAGAGGTCCTCCACGGCTCCTGGGCCCCAGCGGGGTGCCAGGCACGGCTCTCTACAGCCTCATCTCTGATCCGCCTAAGCCCACAGGCTTCTGTTGCTGCCTCCCTCCCTCCACAGCGGCAGCACCAGGGGGCCCAGGTGCAGATGCCGCCTCACCACTTCCTTGCTGCATGACCTTGGACAGTGACTTGGGCTCAGTTTTCCCATCTGTAAAATGGTGATAATAGTTCCTACCTGTTCTTGGAACAAAATGAGTTAGAATGTAAGGTACTTAGGAAGGTGCCTGTGCACAGTCAGGCATCAGAATGCCTGCTGTTCCTCCTAATATAATCGCAGGTTGGACACAACTGAGGAAGGGAAAGAAACAGCTTGAGATCGAAGTAGTCAAGCTGAAACTAGAGCCCAGCCAGAGCTTCCCAAGAAGTCCCTGGCCCTTGGAGGCTGTGGCATGGTGGCACTTTGACCACCCAGGGGGAAGCAGGGCCAGATGGGCAGCCTGTCCCAGGAGGGTGGCAAGGCAAGGCAGCAACGCCCAGGACCACCCAGAGATGCTGGGATGTTTGCCTGGGTCAGGAACACCCGGACTGAGGCAGAACTCTGGGCTCTCAAATTTAGACAGGGTGTCCTGGAGGGGAGGTTAAGGGGGTTTCTGTGCAGCCCCAGGGCTAAGAGGTAGCTTCGGCCCTGACTGGTTTGGCTCAGTGGATAGAGCGTCGGCCTGTGGACTGGGGGGTCCCGGGTTCGATTCCGGTCGAGGGCATGTGCCTTGGTTGCGGGCACATCCCCAGTGAGGAATGTTCAGGAGGCAGCTGATCGATGTTTCTCTCTCATCGATGTTTCTAGCTCTCTATCCCTCTCCCTTCCTCTCTGTAAAAAAATCAATAAAATATATTAAAAAAAAAAAAAAAGAGGTAGCTTCGGCTCCTAGCACAAAAGGACGTTCTCACTGTCGGGAATGCCCCGGGATGGAAGGTGGTAGTGAGGGGAGGTGGTGAGTTCCCCATGCTCTGAGGAATGCAAACAGGACCACTGGCGTGGCCCAGGTCCTATCTTCTGCAGTCTCCCCGCCGTTGGTCTGTGATATCTCTGCTGGTAGGGGGTGACCTCCTGAAGGCCACAGGGGTGTGGGGAGCTCAGCAGAGCCTCTGCAGGTAGAACCTCAGGAGATTTCGGGCAGAACTCTCCCCTTGGGCCAGCCCTGGCTCAGCTCCAGGTCTCTGCAGTTTCCTCCACCGGGAACTGTCTTCTCCCAGACTTCAGCTTAGCTAAGCCCTCCTGCAGAAGGTGGCCCTGACCGCCCATAGCTGGCATGCTCTTAGCAGATGAGGACTGCTTAGGGACCTTCCTGCCTGTCCCCTGTAGGCACCCAGGAAGCAGGGCCCTTGTCCCCAGCACCCACCATAGGGCTGGTATCTAGAAGGTGCTAAATAAATGCTTCTTGACTACGTGGTTTGAGGCAAACCATCAGCACCTGCAGGAGCCACGGGAAGCTAGGCTGCAGGGGATGAAGTGGCCCCAGAGCCGCGGGGCGACCTGGCCTGGCCCCCACCCCTGCGCATTTCCCCTCACCTGGAGCACAATGGCCGGCACCGAGAAGATCATGGCTTCATTGAACACTGGGTTGGGGTCATCCCTCTTCACAGCCGTCCGCTTTTTGCTCATCTTCCTCCCATCCTGCAGTAGGTACACCTTGACGTAGGGGTCTGGGTGGACGAGGGGGTGGAGGTGAGGGCCAGGGCCACACTTACCGGACACAGCCCTGCCCATCGCCGTGGCCCACTAGCTCTAAACTGCCCAAACCTTCACGATTGCCATTATCGCCTGCAGTCCTGCCACTGGTCCTTTATTTCCTATTTGATAGATGAGAAAGCTGAGGCTCACGCGCAGAGGAGAACAGCTGGGCTTTGGACACAGGCAGTGTGCCTCCCAGCCCAGAAGCGTGTTCCTCTCGCACGACGCTCAGGGGACTTGGCAGACCCACCACTTTTCCTTCTATAAATGGTCGGAGCGCAGCCATCAGCTGAGTCACCCGGCACCTGCTCAGCAGGGTTTGACTCAACGGTGTGGGGCTCTGAAATAACAAGTCTCCGTCTGTCCTCACCTACCGCCCACTGGGTATCCTCGCTGCACCTGCCTGGACCCCGGGTTCTCCCAGGCTCCGGGTGGTTGGGCCCCCCAGTCCTCTGTCATCTGTTACCTGGGGCTGGAGGCTCCTGCAGACCCGGGGCATTGGGTCCTGCCTGGCATGCACACCACCCCAGTGGCCCTCGCCCCCATTTGAGATCTGGAATGCGGCCCAGCCTCTGGGCACGGAGCCTCCACCATGAACTGCAGGTGGGAGGTGGGTGCCCACCTTGGCTCCTTCCCAGTGCCCCAGCCTTCTGCTCTCAGATTCCCATCTCTCTCCCTGTAGGGGCTCCCTGCCTCCCTCTGTGGTTCCCGTGTTTCCCCAGCTAGACGAGTCTTCCCGCTGTGCCCGGCTCCTGAGCTCAGCCAGAGCTGGAGGTGGGGAGCCTGGTGCCGTGCCCCACACCTACAGATGTGTCCAGGTGCCCAGGGCTTAGCAGCTGGACCACAGGTGCCCCCAGCCCCACGGAGGAGCCAGGCAGCCAGCTGGGCCTTACCCGCTGTGGTCTTGTCGCTGGTCCAGATGAGATTCTTGGCCTTCACCACGACCACGGTGAGGCGTTCGGCCGTGGGGAGGTAGCTGAGGGACAGCAGGATCTCGCCTACAGAGTCGGCGGCCTGCAGGACGGGCAGGTGGCTTAGAGGGCTTCTGTCCCCTGACAGGTCCAGGGAAAGTCAGAAGCTTCCTTCTCCACCGAGAAGCTGCTGTTCTTGGGGCCCCTCCTACCAGGGCACTCGGCTGCTGGCATTGGGAAAGGGCCCCTCCCCACTCCATGAAGCAGGCACCATCCCTCCCTCCCTCCCACCACTGTGGGTCCTGCCTTGGAAGGAAGGCCAGAGGTTGCCTGTCAAATGCAGCATCCACATGCAGTTACGTGGCCAAGGGGAACATTCCGTGGTAGGAGCACATAGATCATTTATGTAGTAGATCATTTGCTTAAATAACAGTAATGCTCCCAAGCACATCCACTCTTACACGGATAAAGGTAAACTTCAGCTTGGCCTCTGTCTGAAACACCTCACGTCAGGGCCAGGGGAGTACTCCCCTCACAGAAGCCCTGTAGGGGTAGAGCTTCTACAGATTGGGAGGCAGGAGCAGTAGAAGAGCTGTAAACAGTGGACAGGGTGTTTCTCATTTGCATGCAGTGAACGGAGCCTCCGTGATTGTGGCTCAGGTCTCTTTCTGTCATTTCCTAAAGATGCTGGTGTTCGGGGAGTTGGAGAGGACAATGGGTCCCTCCTCTGGAGCGTGTGTGTGTGTGTGTGTGTGTGTGTGTGTGTGTGTGACACTCCCTGCGCGGGTGCACGGGTGGGCGGACTTACCTTGTTCTGATCCTGTAAGTAGAGCCAGCCGCTGAAGGGCTGCAGCGGAAGGTCAAGTACGGAAAGTTTCAGCTCCACCACACCCGTGCTGACGTTCCGCTCATCCTCGTCAATGCCGAAAACCGAAAACCGCAGGCTCTTCTCCTCCAGGGCAGCAGGGTCCAGGGGGGTGGAGAACTTCTCATCGAAGAAGATGGAGTAGGCGTTCCTCTGGATCTGCAGAGAGAAAGGGCCGTGGAGGGCGTGTCAAAGGTGGGGAGGGGGTGGCAGCCAGGGTCCTGTAGGCCATGGCAGGGGGAGAGCGCTGGATGGAGAGTCTGGGACCTAGGCTAGAGGCCTGGCTCTGCTGTCCCCACAACCCCAATGCTAATCCTTCTTTGGGTGGCTCAGCTGTGGTTTCAAAGCCCCCTGTTGTCCCCTCAGTGGGGGCCGATCTATGAGCCTGGCATTGAAAGCTCACACAATCTGACCCCAACGAAGTCCCAACCCCAGTGGCCATGGCTCCATAGAACCCTCACGATGCATCAGCTGAGCCGGTCTCCGCTGTTCTTGCATGTGTCCAAGTCTAGCTCTGGGCCACGTGCAGTGAGTACGGATAATTGTGGAGTCCAGAGCCATTGATGTCCCAGCCCCCAGAGCTGCCTGAACGTTGTGGGATGGACAGACGGATGGAATGACTAGGGGAGGTTGCACTGACTTAGTTTCCAAGCCCAGTCCTGCCTGGTGGGTTCCATTGGTCTCCTCCCAGGAAGCTGTGGGCAGGCCCCTGGGAAGGTGCACTTGCGGGCACTGCTCCTCTTCCGTGGGAAGCTGCCTTAGTCACTGCCTGGTGATATTTAAAGAGAGGAGCCCTCATTCCTGGTACCTTGCCTGAAGCTGGGGGGCTGCCCAGCCTGCGTCAGCCACCCACTCACTGGGATCGGCTGGGCTGGGATGTAAGAAGCCTGCCTTCCTGGGAATAAATCTACCAGCACCTCCAGGTTCCCTGAACCACACTCTTGGATGACTGCCTGGGCTGTGGGCAGGCTCCTCTCACTCTGCTCTCTGGGAGCCACGCTCCCTACCCAATCGCTTGCTTGAGAACTGAGGGCTCCTTCTCCCCTCTCTCCCCCTCTGGGGGAGAAAGCCTACTTCTGGATCCTGACCTCAGCGTTCAGGGTCTTCATGACCTTCAGTTACGTCTCTCCTTCCTTTGGCCAAACTAGCCTCTTGGCTGTCCCCTGTCCTCCCTACAGTCATCACCTTGGGCTCTGGGGTCAGCATCCAAACCCGCTCTCCAGCGCCCTCCTCAGATCCTGCCTGGCTCTGCAGACCGTCCTGTAAGGTGGGGGCGGGGGGCGGGGGGAGGGGACTGAGGGCCTGAACACACTTCTGCTCCACCCTGCAGCTCCCACTTACCCGGGAAATGCCTACGATCTGCTCCTCAGGCAGCAGGCTGATGCGCATGAAGCAGGACTCGAAGCTGGTTTCCTCCCGCTCCAGGAGGTCCTTCCCCTGCAGCACAGCCACGTGGAGGGTGTGGGAGGCGGCGTCGTAGTCCATGCTCACCTCCACCTGGCCCAGCGTGAAGTCCTGTCCAAAGGTATTGCTCACGGAGGAGATGGAGTTGACGGAGTCCACTGACTGGGACTTCCGGAGGGTCCCGTAGGGTGCCAGGTCCAGCTCCCGGCCCATCAGCTCCAGGGGCCCCAGCTCGCTGATGGTCTCAAAGGTGTCCTCCATGCTGAGGCTGCCTTTGCGACTGGGTGGTCCCTGAGTGCTGGCCCGACGGGTACTCCAGGCAGGCGCTCTCTGCAGGTGAGAAAAGGGGGCAGGGGAGCATCACAAGGGCAATGGTGTTGAGAGGGCAAAGAGGTGCGGCAATCCCTGCTCATTCAAGGCACCTCCAGGTTCCCCTTCTGCAAAAACGGGGCGTGTCTGAGTTCAGAGGGCCCCCGTTTTATGTCATTCACATCACTCAGTGCTCTCCGTCACCAGGATGCAAGAGAGCATTTTCTCAAAATGTTTATTTGTAAAGACTGCGTTCCCTACATAGAGATGTGCACTGCAGTGATGTTTATAAAAAGGAAAGAGAGTCAGCAATCTCAGTGTCCAGATCAGCTACTCAATAGCTGATCAAGCAGCCTCGAAGGAAGTTTTCAAAAATGTCTGCAACATGAGAAAACTTTCATGTTGGGTAACACTCACCCTAATATTCAAATTTTCTTTCGTCTAAATTGACCTCGATATTCGAGAAGACAGAAGCCTCTACCACAAGCATCTCCCCTGTTGCTGCATAGTCTTCATGACCACAATTTTAATGCCCCCCCCCCAAATTTCCCACTGAGTAGACAGCCATAATTTATTTTACAATTCCCCCACTATTAAGCATTTATGTTGTTTCTCTTTTTTTCACAACTATAAATAATGCAGCCTTGAGTAGCTTTTGTAAAATCCTGACTTAGAGAATTCAGCCCTTTTGAAAGCGTTTGACACTTGTCACCAAAATGCTCTTTGAAAATGTTGTGCCAGTTGACAGTTCCCCCGACAGAGTGACAGATAGTCCTTTCTGAAACCCCAAATGAGTCAGCATGTGGGACCCGGATCTGGGAACAGATTCTGGCTGTGCTCTCTGGTATCTACATCATGTCAGAAAAATTCTCTGCCAAGTACCAAGTGATGAGACATTCAGCAATATATACTGAGAGCCCTGTACATGTTTGTACTCCCTGATATGGTCATTCAAGATCTGGGCATCTATTCAAAGTACATAATACCAATAAAGACACAATTTTACCTATAAAACACTCATCGCATCATTCCTGATGGCATTTAGTAAATCATGGCAGATAAATAAAGAGGAATGTTACATAGATATTAACATGATATTTATAGTGGTTGTTCCACAACATGGGAAAATGCTTCAGGTATAATTGAGATGAAACGTATAAAATTCTAGCCCAGCTGGTGTGGCTCAGTGGTTGAGCATCGACCTATGAACCAGGAGATTATGGTTCGATTCCCGGTCAGGGCACATGCCCGGGTTGCAGACTCGATCCCCAGTGTAGGGCAGGCAGGAGGCAGCGGATCAATGATCCTCATCATTGATGTTTCTATCTCTCTCTCTCCCTTCCTCTCTGAAATCAATAAAAATATATTTAAAAAAATAAAATTCTAAGTAGAAATGACACTCATTGTGTAACGTCTATGCATGGAAAAAAGACTAGGTGCGGGGGGTTAGATGAAAATATTGGAGCCCTAGCTGGTTCGGCTCAGTGGATAGAGCATTGGCCTGTGGACTGAAGGGTCCCGGGTTCGATTCCGGTCAAGGGCACATGCCCAGGTTGTGGGCTCGATCCCCAGTGGGGGGCATGCAAGAGGCAGCTGATCAATGATTCTCTCTCATCATTGATGTGTCTATCTCTCTACCTCTCCCTTCCTCTCTGAAATCAATTAAAAAATATTAAAAAAAAGATTTCTAAAAAGCAAAGTGGCTGTACTATTTAAAAAAAAGAAAACATTGGAAATAAATAAATAAAAATGCTAATAATTAAAAAAACGGTTAACTCTTGCTTGCCTCAGGGTGGTGGCATTTGGGAAAGAGGTTTTTCTTCTTACAGTGGGGCCTTGACTTACGAGTTTAATTCGTTCCGAGACCGAGCTCGTTAAGGAGCTCGTTAACTCAAATTACTCTATCAACTCAATGCAAAAAATCGGCTGGAGAGACAGCTGGTATCTCAAAAAACTCGTTAGTCGGGACACTCGTAAGTCAAGGCCCCACTGTATTTTAATAAGCACTGCCTTTATAATTATTCACAGTCTGTATATACATTTTATGAGACGCACTATATTTTTCACAGGATGGTTTTTAAAATTGAAACCATTCATTCATTTATTCATTTAACAAGTATTCATGGATTCATTCAACAAGTAGGCACTGGGCTAGGCTGGAGATATGAAACAGGACCAGGGCCCCGTTCACAGGAGGAAATTAACCAGGAGGGAAGGAGGTGGAGAGGGAGTGGAGGTTGAATCTGAGAGTGGACAGTGGGGGCGTGGGGCACACAACTCCGTGGGCACCTACAAGAGGGGAAGCCTCCAGAGTCCCTAAAACCACAGGAGGAGGGGTATGCAAGAATGTAGCCTTGAAAGTAGCTCATCTCGTCTTGCAGTTTGAACAGAAGGGCTATTTGAATCAGAGGAGCTAACCCTCTTGGGGTTTAATTACCAGGTGCTGCTCATAAATTGTGGAAGGTTACAACAAGGAAAAGGAGGCCCTTTTCTTGTCCACACACTCACAAGTGTTATTGGTGTAATTAGCTAGTTATTAACAGTGTTAATAAAAGGAAAAAGAGCAAGGGAAGTCAGAAATGGTTGAGCATGTTCAGCTGGGAAGGAGAGGCCTGTTTGTTTCACCAGCTTCACATTGAGCAGCGGTTCTCAACCTGTGGGTCGCGACCCCTTTGGCGGTCAAACGACCCTTTCACAGGGGTCACCTAAGACCATCCTGCATATCAGATATTTACATGACGATTCATAACAGTAGCAACATGACAGTTATGAAGTAGCAACGAAAATAATTTTATGGTTGGGTCACAACATGAGGAACTGTATTTAAAGGGCCAGAAGGTTGAGAACCACTGACATCGAGGGAATCGCGGCATTGTCCCTCCAAGGGGAGGAACACTCTCTCCCCCTCCAGTACTGGATTGTTGGGGGGTGAAGGGGGAGCTAGGCATATGCACAGAAGTCAGCGTGGTGCAGGGGAAGTGCTTGCCTGTCAGTCTAGCTCAGGGAACAATGGATTTGCTAGGAGGGGTGTCCCCTACCCCCCCAAAAAAACAAGAGCAGAAGCCTCACCTTCTGCCTGGCCTCTGCGTAGGTCTCGCCATACTTCTGCTGAAGGTACCTGTAGTTGTAGTTGGGGAATGGGGAGGGGCTGGGGAAGCTACCCGATGTCCAGAGCTTCCACAGGCTCACAGCGGCGATCCCCAGCAGCGCGAGGGCCCCCGCGGCGTAGACACCCACCTCCCAGTCAGGTGGGCTCTTGATGACTACAAGGCAAAAGCAGCCTCTCGTTAGTGGGCCCCAGGGCCCCTCTGTGGTTACAGACCCCACCCCGGGAGCAGGTGGTTTAGCACTGGATTAATAGTTACTAGGTGCCTGCTGTGTGGTAGGCTAGGGGCTAGGTGCTGGGGGTCATGTTAATAAGAAGACACTCTTCTGTGGTTTCTGCTTTTATCCTCTTTCCCACAAAAACTTGACTAGAACAGGTGACGAGCTGTGGTTAACTATTCATTAGGCTTTAAACAAATAGGTTTGTTCTTGCCTCTATGAGTTCTCAGACCTCACCCTTCAGAGGACCTCTTGCTTCCAGATAATCAAAGCAGCCTTTTGGGGTTTGGGGGAAAAAAGGAAAGAGATCTGGGGGACAAAAAAATGATCCCATTTTTACCTCAAACCTCATCTAGAACAACACAGTGTCCATTAATGGATGGATGGGTAAATAAAATATAGTATATCTATGCAATGGAATAATATTCAGCAATAAAAAAGAATGAAGTACTGCCCTGGCCAGTGTGGCTCAGTTGGTTGGAGTACCATCCTGTGTACCAAAGGGTCTCAGGTTCAGTTCCTGGTCAGGGCACATATCCAGGTTGCAGGTTTGAGGGCGTGTGCAGGAAGCAACTGATCAATGTTTCTCTCTCTCTCCCACTCTCCCTTTCTCAAGTCAATTTAAAAAAAATACCTTTAAAGGAATGATATACTGTTATATATTACAACATGGATGAACCTTGAAATCATCATGTTAAGTGAAACAAGCCAGATACAAAAGACCATATGTTGTATGATTCTATTTATATGTCCAAAACAGGCAAATCTATATAGGCAGAAAATAGATTAGTGATTGTCAGGGGTTAGGGGAGTGGAGAGGAATATGGAATATGGGGTTTCTTTTGGCATGATGAATATACTCCAAAAATTGATTGTGCCAACTTTAGCCAGAATTTATGCTAAACATATTCTGGAGAAGGGCGGGGCCCCGCCTGCAGCCCTGGCATCTATCCCGCACTTAGCACCCTGTGCGCTCTCTACCTCTACTTTCTAGAGGAGACCTGAGGCTGAGGCAAAAGAACACACCTATCTATGGGCTCAAGGCCACAGGGTGGGAAGTCCAGGTCACCTAGCCCAGTGGTCGGCAAACTCATTAGTCAACAGAGCCAAATATCAACAGGACAACGACTGAAATTTCTTTTGAGAGCCAAATTTTTTAAACTTAAACTATATAGGTAGGTACATTGTTATTAACTTAATTAGGGTACTCCTAAGGCTTAGGAAGAGCCACACTCAAGGGGCCAAAGAGCCGCATGTGGCTCTCGAGCCGCGGTTTGCCGACCACGGACCTAGCCTCTCTGGGCCCAGTCTCATCCGGAAAAAGATGGCCCCCAAACATCCCCATCCAGTGGTGCCACCCAGGGAATTTATCCTCAGGGACACGTCCCCACAAGTTTCTCTCTGGTGTGAGTCACCGGGCCGTATTTATAACAGCAGCCATCTGGAAACAGCCTGGAGGTCTGACCCCGGCCTTAGGAGGGACTGGCCCTGGCCTTTGAGGATGACAAGGATGTCACTGTGGTGATGTAGAGAGAAATGTAAAGAGAAAAACATCAATGCCCAACATGGTATAACAACATGGTTTTGATGTAAAAATCACACATCAAATGGCCAAGGCCTGGGCGGACTAGGGAGGAATGAGAAGAGCAAGAAATCAGGATGCAGGGGCTGGGAGCAAACACTATTTACTTCTGACTTCGGTTGCTGGAATGTAATTTGTGGTCTAAATGAGGCCACAGCAAGGATCTACAGCGGGGCTCCAGGGCCAGTTCTGCTGAGGTCGAGGGAGGTCAAGGTAGTCCGGGGAGGCTGGTGAGTGGGGGGACGGGATGGGAATGTACCTGCTTAATTGCAGAGTGAGGGGCATACGTGAGGGGCTCCTGCTGAGACGTGCACAGTAGGGCCTGGATGTTGGTAGGGGCAGGTCAGTGGGCGGGCACAGGCAATGGGCACAGCAAGGTGGCCAAGCAGAGCCGGACTCCTCTGGGAGTGAGGAACCGGGGGAAAGGAGGGACTGAAGCCGGAGCCCTGGTGGACGGAGGGCATGAAAGGAAAAGCCTCAGGAAGGTAACATGAAATGACGACAACTGAGACTCATTTGTTTATTCATATCCTGGGTGCCAGCCTTAGGACGCTATGGAAGAATTCCCAAGGGAGGAGAGGTCTAGGTTGAGACCAGAAATAAGGACCAGGAGGAGTTGGAGTTCTAACAGGTTCCCTTCTATTTCCTATTTGCCTGACTCTGTTCCAAGCACTTCATGTGTATTAACCCACCGGGTCCTCAGAACAATGGTGTGAGGGAGGTTCTACTATTATCCCCATTTTACAGACGAGGAAGCTGAGGGACAGAGGAGATATCCACTGTCCATCTTGCTCCAAATCTGTGCTTGTAACCTCCACCGCACATCCAAGAGGCAGGGAGAGGCAGGAAGTGCTCCAGGCAAAGGGAACAGCATGTGCAAAGACCTGGAGTTGGGGGAGAGTTATGTTTCCACTGTGTTGGGCACTTTGCATAGGTTAGCTCACTGAGTCTTCCCAGCAGTCCTTGAGGCAGGCCTCACCAAGTAAATGGAGGCTCAGAAAGGTTCCATCACTTGCTCCAGGCCATGCCAAGACCTGGGAGCCTGCCGGTGAGAATCCCTGGTGGGGGTTGGGAAAGGTGGTTCCTGTGCACAGCTCAGCCCTGGGCTGGAGGCCGAGCTAGGGCAGGAGCTGAGTGATGGGAGCAGTCAGGAGACCTGGGCTCATGTCCTGACCCTGTTCCTTACTCACTGACCCTTTCCTGTCTGAGCTCCCTTTCACCATCTGCAAACGGGGACAGTGACATAAGGAGAGGAGATGGGGAGAAGTGGGTCTGGCGTCACGTGACCCCATTCTCAAGCTCGGTGCCTGCCCGGCGCACAGGGAAGGCGAGAGCTGCATCCCAGGTACTTGCCATCCCTGGTCTGGGCGATCTCTGAGTTGAATGTCTTGTGGATCTCACGTCAACCTTCCTGGGTTTCCTCTCACTTGGCTACTTGAGAGGCTCCAGGAGTGGCCCTGGCAAGTGGATTCTGTGTCACAGGCTCATCGTTAGGGAGCAGAGGGACATGGGCCTTCTGGGGGACCCCCTCGAGTCAAAAGGAGGGAGACACTTCCACAGAGGAAACCACTGGAGCAAAAAGATGAAGAGATTTCAGACTGGCCCCAGCCCTGTGTCCTCAAGGCTATGTGACCTTGGGCAAGTCACTGATGGGCCTGCCCAGTAAAACAGGGCCGTGATGGGCGCCCCACTGACACCCGCACCCCAGGCCTGTGAGATGGCATGCTAGCGCTGGGACTCACCGCTCAGGTGGTGTTCCGCCACGTCCACGGCCATGGTGCCCACTGCGGTAGCTGAAACTAGAAGGGAAAAGAGAGTCAGAAGAGAGGGCTTCTGTGGGCCCCTGACCCCAACCCTGTGCCCTGGCCTGCCGGTGCCCTTGGGCCTGTCATCCAGAGCTCACACTGAGCCGTGAGCAGGGTCTGGGCAAAAATAGGTGGTTTTTATTTTATTTCTTAAAATAGCCATTGTAAAAATTGTTATTAATTATTATTATTAATTTTTGAAAGACCTAGTTGGCTTTATTCAACAATTCACGAATCGGGCAGCATCCCATCAAGTAAACAGAAAGTACTCCTTATTATTATTTTTTAATCGTCATCCAAGGATATATTTTTATCGATTTAGAGAGAGAGGAAGGGAGAGACAGAGAGTGAGAAACATCGAAGTGAGAAAAACATAGATCCGTTGCCTCCAGTATGCACCCGGACCAGGGATGGAATCCACAACCTCGGTTCGTGCCCTGACCAGGAATCCACTCACCAACATTTAAAAATCAAGAAACTGTACATAAACTATCCAGGCTTTTTCTTTAAAGAGCCAGAGGTTCCAGCCATGTTGGGTTGGCATTCCTGGGAACAGAAAAGCACTCGATCCCTTAATCGGCAAGCACCCCACAGTTCTCACCCCCGAGCCCCCTGTTTATCCCACCTCACCTGTCTGTGCTACCTCTTTGAGCCACGAGGGACACAAACGGAGTCACCCAACTAGGGCAATTTTTAAAAATGGTGTCTAGAGTTTTCTTTAAGCAGGCAAAGACTTCACCTCAGGGTTGCCAGATAAAACACAAGATGCCCAGTGACATTGGAATTTCAGAGTCATTTTTACTATAAATATGTCCAAATATTGGAACCTACTCACACTAAACATGTGTTGTTTATTTGAAATGCAGAAGTTGCTGGGCATCCTGTATTTGTGTTTGCTAACTCTGGCACCCCTGCTGCCCTTCCACCCTGCCAACACCAGGCTGACCAGCACCGACTCTGTTGCTCATTAGAGCAGCCCCCCCCCCCCCTGGGGTGCTCACTAGGCAGTAAGACGGACTGCATATGTGCAAGTTGTCCCATAAGATTATAATGGAGCTGAAATTCCTACCACCCAGTGACTTCATAGCTGCCATAATGTCATAGCACAGCGAGTTATAATTGGCTACAGTATTCAGTACCGTAACATGCTGTATAGGTTTGTAGTCAGGAGGCCATAGGTTGGACCACACAGCCCAGGTGTGCCGGAGGCTAGAGCGTCTCGGTTTGTGTAAGTGCACCCTGTGTTGTTTGCACAACGAAGACATCGCCTAACGACGTATTTCCAATCATTAAGTGACGCACGACTGCGCTTCCAATGCTTTTGTTTAAGCTGGAAAAGGAAGGCTCCACCTCCACAATATCCTATTCCCCGTCCTTCCCCTCCCCACTCCACCCTCCAAGGTCTAGAAGCTCATACAAGCCATTACCTGAACCCAGGGCCTGCTCATGGTTTTACTATTGTTGTTGCTAAGAAGCACATTTGCTCACAGACATATTCTAAATGGGGTGGTGGTGGTGGAAAGGCGAGGCCGGGATGAACTGTATGGGTCTCAGTTCAAGGGACACGGAAGGACAGGACAAGCCCCACCCAGCGTTTGTGTCCCTCGTGGCTCAAAGAGGTAGCACAGACAGGTGAGGTGGGATAAACAGGGGGCGCGGGGGTGAGAACTGTGGGGTGCTTGCCAATTAAGGGATCGAGTGCTTTTCTGTTCCCGGGAATGCCAACCCAACATGGCTGGAACCTCTGGCTCTTTAAAGAAAAAGCCTGGATAGTTTATGTACAGTTTCTTGATTTTTAAATGTTGCACCAATTCACAAAAATGTACACACCACTCAGGCACAGTGTGAATAAAAGCTGCTTGGCCGTGGCTGGCCTGTTGGTAACCCCTCCAAGCATTCTGTGGGCCCCCCACTGGCACTGAGGTCCAATCAGAGGGTGAACATTTTCCTGGGCATTTTACAGAGTCCTGAGGTTCTTCCCAGACGGCGGCTTTGGGGCCAAGAAGTTGAGGTGCCTCGATCCAAGTAGGGTTATCCAGAACATAGGGGAGTGCCTCCAGTCCCAGGCGGGAGGCCTCAAGAAGCAGGGCCGAGCGGGGCCCAGGGAGAAGCCTCCTTGTCCCCAGCTCCCCTGCTGATGCCCCCACTCCCTGCGATGCGGGTTGTCATGGTGATGGGAGGGAGGTGCTGACTCAAAGTGGAAGCTCATTCCTGGGACCTGGGCTGGAGATCATGATAATGATAGCGAACCCCGCCAAGCACTCCTTACACCCAAGCACAGCCCTGAGCACTTTGCATATATATTACTTATTTAATCCTCTAGCAACCGCACAGGTAGGTACTATTACCATCTCTGGTTTGCAGAGGAGAGTCCTGAGGCCTGAAGGTAAGGTTGTTTGTCCCAGGCCACACAGTAAGAAACTGTTCAGTCCAGGCCATCTGGCTCCACGCTCCACCTCTTACCAACTTGCAGGAGGGCACATGGTTTCAAAAGTCTCCTGAGAACTTGCACACCCAATAGGACACTGTGTCAAAGCCCAAGGTGGCCCTAGTTCCTGGCAGAAGGGAGTCTGGGCGTACCGAAACACATGTTAACGTGAGCACACCGGTCCCAGCCTGCCTCTGCCCTGCTGGGAATCCAATAACGCCAGTGGCTGTCCTTCCTGCTCACCTGGCACAAGCTGACTTTGTGAGAGGGGGGCCGGCCGCACTGGGATGGCCAATGCCAGCAGCGTGGGCTGGGGATGCCCCTGCCGCAGGTACACATGGTTGGGGACAGAATCTGCTGTCAGATCTCTGGCTGTCCATGGGCTCCCATTCCTCTAAGGCTGGTCCAGCTCAGACCCCAGACCCCCACACTGCGTACCTTTCTTCTCCCCACTCCCTCACAGCCCCCTCCTCCCTTTGCCTGGGATCTGTGATTGCAGTGAAGGTGTGAAGGACCCCAGGCCCACCAGGCCAGCAGTTCCCACAGTGCCAGAGCACAGCTGCTCCTCACTATCTCAGAGCCTCGGTTGTCCTATAGGTAAAACAGGGCTCCTAACTGCCCTAGCCGGGTGCCAGGAGGGTGGAATGAGAGGTAATGTGGTTGGGCTTGGTAAACATTGGCTACAGTGGTCTTGGCCTGGCCATTTGTCCCAAAGGCCCCCCTGCCCCTCTTTTGAGCTGTGGAATCTCATGGGCAGCATGGCCAGCCTGCAGATGTGTTTCATTTGTCTTAAAGTGACTCATCAACATTTAAAAATTGGTAAATTTCCCATTAAACATTTATATCTTAAAAAAATAAAATAAAATAAAAAGCCCTGGCCGGCTTGGCTCAGTGGATAGAGGGTTAGCCTACAAACTGAAGGGTCCCAGGTTCGATTCCGGCCAAGGGCACATGCCTGGGTTGCGGGTTCAATCCCTGGTGGGGGGCGTGCAGGAGGCAGCCAATCAATGCTTCTCTCTCATCATTGATGTTTCCATCTCTCTCTATCCTTCTCCCTTCCTCTCTGAAATCAATAAAGAAATATATTTAAAAGAAAAATGTTGGATTTCTTACGTGTAAACCATATGGACAAATAATCTTAAATGCTAATCTCCTGATTTGATTGGTGTCCTCCACCCACCTGGTTCTTCCGAAGGAAGGAAGGAAGGAAGGAAGGAAGGAAGGAAGGAAGGAAGGAAGGAAGAAAGAAAGAAAGAAAGAAAGAAAGAAAGAAAGAAAGAAAGAAAGAAAGAAAGAAAGAAAGAAAATCTAGCTTCCTGTTAAGAGTTAGATCTGGGGCTAGCAGGTCTATAGGCCCTGTAATCCCCTAAGACAGCCCGAGCTGGAGCTGAGTAGGCTCTGCCCCTTCAGACAGTGCACTTGCTCAGCGGGCCTGGACCTCGCTTCCCTCCATTCGCTGCCAAAACCTGAGGGCTCCTGGAAACATCTCCGTTCAGGAGCCTGGTAAGCAGGTCTTCAGATGAGCTCGGGAGGTTCAGGAAGGTTAAGTGCGTTGCCCAGAGCCAGCAGTGGTGGAGCTGGGCCTGGCAGCCATGCCTGCCACCTGGTCCAGTGCCTCTTCTATTAGTAGCCACAGCCCCTGTGCCAAGGACTTCACCGCCCCCCAGGCCCCTAGGGAGCACATCCTATTATTAACCCCACTGCACAGAGGAGGACAGCGAGGCTCAGAGAAGGGCAGTGGATTAGCCCAAAGCCACATAACCCGTCAGCAGAGAACAGAGACCGAGCCAGATCTGGCTCTGCCTCAAGCACCCTTCTTAATGGCAGTACTCACTGTGCCCGAGACCCCCTGGCTCCATTTCACTGTGCCTGGACAACCCCAGCAGGCTCCCGCTGGCAGCCTGGCGGTCTGCCAGGCAGAGGGGCTGTGGCTTTGGCTCAGAACAGGATGCTGAAAAGGCATATCCAAGGCCAGGGCAGCCTGTGACCAGAGCTCCCCCAGCTTCTGACACACAGGAAATGGGGCTCAACAGGGGCGAGGGGGGAGCCAGAGCTGTCCCAAACCCGCATCTGAGTTCCTCAGGTCATGTCTCCTTCCTGGCACCCCTCCCCACCCAATCTATTCATTCCAGCTCCAAATCCCCAAACCCTAACCTGCATGGAGCGTGCTCATTAAAAACAGCTCACTGTTCAAAACCAGGCTTAATCGTACCTACCTGGCAATACCTATCTAATGCTCTAAGAATCAGACACAATAGATGCTAAATTCTTACCACCGTGCCTGGCCCGTAGTAGGCACACAATATAGATCTGATGATTAAATGGAGAAATGGACCCCCATTTTAAGGATGAAGAAGCTGGGGCCCCTGGTCACTCAGCATCTGAGTAACAACACTGGGACTGGTGCCAAGGTGCGATGGATCTGGGCCTGGGCTCTCGGCCACCATGCCACATCCTGACTAGGCTTTTTGGGGGTGGAGGTGGGTGGGAAGAACTTCCACTGGCCTTGCAGAATCTGACCACAGTCAAGGCCCCCTCCTGAGCAATCAGAGAAATGGCTTTCCAGGAATTTTGTGCCTTTGCAGGGGCATAGGGGCCCCATGGCTCCGCTCCTCCCACCCCGTTTCCTTGCTCATTGTGTCTCTGATCCCAGCTCTGGTCAGCAAGGTGTTCACTCCCCGTCCCCTCACCCTGAAGCCAGCAGGTCATGGGGAAGATGGGGGCTCCCAGGCTGAGAAACTCCGTAGGTTTGAGGTCCTTTGAGCTCCCATTTTCTGAGAGTCCCACATCCGACTACTCATCCTCCCCAAAGCCCACAGAAACCACAGCGCAGATGGCCAGGGTGGTGGTGGCTGGCATTTGCTGGACGCCGCTAGGACTTGCCAAACCCTCCCTGCTGCCCTTTGAGGGGGCTGCAACTTGGCCCATTGCGTGGGTAAGAAAACGGAGGTGCAGGAAGTGACCTGCCCACAAGCACCAGAGCTGATAAGAGGCAGAGTGGAGGCTTGGACCCCAGGCTGGGAGCCCCCATTTTCCCAGGCTGACTTGGGAAAGATTTCATCTTGGGGAGGTGGGGGCTGGCTGAGTTACCTGGAGTGGATCGCAGGCCTGGTCTGGGTGAGCCTCAGTTTCCCCATTTTTAGTAGGAAGCACAACAGCTGCCCTCTCTCTGAACCTGTTTCCTCCGGGTGGGGGAAGGGCTGACGCTCCAAGTGCGGGTTTCCCAGGCGCTCTGGGTGGGGATGGCCTCACTGACTGAAGAGGGGGGCTCGCCGTCCCTCTCAGCCCCTGGAAGCGGGGGTCACCAGGTTCTCTGGCTCAGGGTTCCTCCACCCAACAGGCCTGGCTCCAGGCTCTCAAGCTCCATCCCACCCCCAGCCCATCTTCATCCCAAATCCACGGTCTGTCGGGCAAGTTCCCTCCACCAAAGAGCAGCGAGTCCAAGGTTCCGAGGGGCCCCCGGGAGCCCCAGACCCAGGCGGGTGACATGGGCGGCTGAGGCTCCTTCCCTGGGCTCCCGGGCCTCCAGGCGACAGGGTGCGACATGCCTCTTAGGGTTGGGGCACTTCCTGAAGAGCCCGCACCCCTGCCTCGGGAACCCCCAGGGGGTATGAGGAGGGGCGTGTGGGGTGCTGTGAGCGTGAGCGCGGTGTGCGTGCAGCGCGGGCGCCCGGGAGGCGTGTAAATGGCCGGGGAGCCGCGCGTGTGCACACGCGGAACGGACGTGCGGGGCGCTGTGCGATGCGCAGTGCGCGGGGTAGCCGGGCTGGGAAGGGCGCCCGGCGTGCGCTGTGCCGGGCGTGCGTGTGCAAGCGGGGCGCGGGTGTGCAGACGCGCGGAGCCCGGGGGTCCTCAGCACCGGGAGGGGGCCCTGCGTGCGTCGGCGCGCCGTGCGCTGGGGATGTGGGGGACGAGGGGGGGCGTACTCACCCCGGCTCCCCCGTGGACACTGGCTCCGGCTCCGGCGTGGACACTGGCTCGGGCTCCCGGTCCCTGGCCGGCTTCCTGCAGCGCGCATGCACCAGCGATGAACCGGCGGTCGCCCGCAGCGCCACCCTGCAGTGTCGGCCGGCTCCCTCCGAGCAGCGGGGCTCGGGCCGGGGGCTCGGCCGGCCGGCGGCGGACGGGAGCTGCGCCGCAGTCCGGGCACGCTCCCAGGAGCCCGCTGCGCGCTCCCTCGCGCTCCCGCCCGCCCGCTCCCTCTTTAATTTAAAGCGACAACCCCGAGCGCTCCTCCTGCTCCGGGGAGCTGCGCGGCGCTTCCGGGGCCGGAGCCGAAGATCCCCAAGCGCGCCTCGGAGTCCCGGGCGGGGTCTCCCGGAGGCCCAGCCCAGCCATCACTCCCAGGCCCGGGGACGAGGTGGGCATGTGCTCGCCAGGGGCACCGAGAGGCAGGCCGAGCACTGGGCGCAGTAGCCCCAGCCGCCGCACCCGGGTTATCCTGTTCCCTTTCTGGGCCTCAGTGTCTTTTTCTGTAAAGCATCCTGACACTGCGCACTCCCCGCCCCAGACCCCTCCTCTGAATGGACACTTATCTTCTCCCACCTTGACTGGGCTGTTACTGCAGGCCAACATCGTCTCACTTAATCCGCTCCGTTTTTTTACACGAGGAAACACCAAGGTCCCAGAGCCAAAGGTCAGAACCAAGACTAGAACCCAGGCCTGTGTGACTTCGAAGCTCTTCCTCTTAACCACTTAGGGGTCATGCTTCCTCTCCCGAAGGAGTGAATGAATCATTCAGGAGGCATTTATGACGCCCCCGCGGACCGCGCGGTGCCAGGTGTGGGCGATCCTCCATCTCCCGGGAACAGCTCCCACCCGCCCTCGCAGTCTGATGGGGAGGCACGCACACTTGAAGAGGGGCTAGGCTCTGCGTGGGACGGTGCCACCTGCCATGGGCACAGTAACCAGGAGAGCGGGCTTGGTGGGCACCTGAGGAGGCCTCCTGAGGACTTGGGGTGGGGTGGGGAAGCGGGGTGAGGACCGCAGGAGAGGAGCGCCCGTGCAGAGGTAGCAGTGGTCCTGGACCATGAACCCTCCAGGCCTCTGGGGCTGCCCTCTCCGGAGAGCTGGGTCTGTGCTGGCTTTGTGGGGAGGGGCTTCCTTGATCTAAAAGGCCTTGCCCAGGGGAGCCATTAATGCAGTTCCACTCTCACCCATAGGGGGCGCCCTTGTTTTCCGTTCATTTTCTGGACCTGGAAGAGGAAGAGAAAGTGAGTAATTATACCCTTTAGGCCCGCAGTGGTTCTCAACCTTCTGGCCCTTTAAATGCAGTTCCTCATGTTGTGACCCAACCATAAAATTATTTTCGTTGCTACTTCGTAACTGTGATGTTGCTACTGTTATGAATCGTAATGTAAATATCTGATATGCAGGATGGTCTTAGGCGACCCCTGTGAAAGGGTCCTTCGACCGCCAAAGGGGTCGCGACCCACAGGTTGAGAACCGCTGCAAAGTTTAGAGGGAGAGGCTGGGCACTGGGTCATGGGCTTTCTCTGCCATTGCTCATTAACTTACTCTTCACAGTCACATGCAGTTGGGTATGACTGAGCCCATTTTCCACACAAGGACACCTGGCTGAGGAACGATCGTGTTCCCGGTTTGGGAAGGAGTGGTGTTAGACACGCCATCCTCACCTAAAAGGACACACTGATGCGGGCTTCCTCTGCAGTAGCAAAGAGGGGAAGTTGAAGCTGGTCTGGCTCTGGGGTCAGCCTCCCAGGCTGAGCGTGAAGGGAGATCTTGTCAAGTTCAGGTTTAAAAAACACTTCAATGAACAGAAAAGCGTGCACACGTGCACCAAAGACAGGGCCTAGCAACAGGCAGGTGTGAAATGCATTGTAGCATAGTCACATGGCATACCACGCGGCGATGGGGAAACAAGACTACCGCGGCCCACAACAAGGTGGATGAATTTCGCTTGTCATGTTGAGCTAAAGAAGCCAGACACAAAAACACACATTGCATAATTCTGTTGACAGGAAGTTCAAAAAAACAGGCAAAACTACTCATTACTGTTACCAGTCAGGATGGGCATTACCCGTGGGTGGCGACTGGAAGGGGCCTGTGGGAGCTCTGGGGTGCGGCTCATGTCCCGGCTTTGACCTCCGTGCTGGTCCCTGGGTGTGGTCACTTTGTGAAAATGTCTGATCTCGCACAGTTATGATTTGTGTACTTTTCTGTGTGTGTGATTCCCTTCAATACAACTTACAGCCCTGGCCGGGCAGCTTGGTTCTTTAGAGCGCTGTCTTGATAAACCAAGGTTGCAATCCCGTCAGGACACATGCAAGAATCAACCAATGACTGCGTCACAAGTGCAACAACAAATCGGTGTTTCTCCTCTCCCCCCCCCCCCATTATCCCTTACTCTCACTCTGTAAATCAATCAATAAAAAATATACAACTTAGAAAAACAAAAACTTCGTATGGCTGCCCACCGCACCAGAATAGCAGCCGAACTCCTTCTGTGGCCCTGTGGCCGCCCTGACCTGTCATGCCACCCTCCTCCTCACTCACCCACCTGCCACCTCCGACCTCCTGGTGTTCCTGACACCTGCCAAGCCATTTTCCACCTCAGGGACTCTCACTTGCTGGTCCCTCTGCCTGGAAAGCCTTTTCTCTCTTCTCGCCAAGACTGCTTCCTCCGTCTTCTGTGCGTCACCCTGAGGAAACACCTCTTCAGAGCGACCCTCCTGACAACCCACCAGCCACAGTCCACAGTGGCTTATTTGTTTACAGCTCATTTTCTGCACTGGACTAATTATCACAAACCCGAGGGACGTTTGCTGTGTGCCAGGCGCTCTCCTAACAGGTGTCAAGGCATTGAATCCTCCACCCCCCTGGGGAGGTGCTATTCTGAGTCCTATTTTATAATGAAGGCAATTGGGGCTCAGAAAGGTTATATAACTTGCTTGTGGCCACAGAGCTGGGAAGTAGCAGAGCCAGGAATTGAATCCATGCATCTCAGCTTCAGAATCCCTTCCTTTAATTCTACACTTGGACAGACCTTGTCTCTCTTCTTCGCTGTGGTATATCTGGGACATGTTTGTGGTGTGAATGAATGAATGGATGGTGAATAAAGTGCTAGTGGGAAGTGGGGGGAAGCTTGGGTCTGAGAGTGGGTGTTGAGGAGAGGGGGCAGGCTCTGGTGTCTGGAGTCCCAATCACAAGGGAAGCAAGGACCTGAGAGCAGATGGACCTCATTGCAGCTGTGCTCAAGGCCAAGGCCTTACCCATGTCTGCCGCTCTCCAATTTCTCTCTGCCTATCCCCAAACCCTTTCCTGAGCTCTCTGCGCAGGCTTTCCTGCCCCTGCCCTTGCCCTGCCTCCTTGTGAATATGATGTTTCTCTCCAGCTATGAGCTCTCTGGCCCTCCCAGGGTAGTCCAGTCAGGCCTCCCTCACCTCTCCAACCCCCTTCCTCCCACCCCCACCCCCGAGATCCAGAGCCCTCCTTGCCAGCCAGGGAGGAGGGAGCGACAAGACACTGCTGGTCACACAGGGAGAGGCTTTATAAAGATCAAAACACCAGACACACAAAGGGATTCTAGCCATGAAAGCGACAGCAGCTGGCACCTGGCGGCGTCTTCACACACTCTTTATATTCATCATCTCCTCTGAGCCTCCAGGTTGAGAAAGCAAGTTCAAGAAAGCTGCATCGCCGGTCACGTGAGCCCCCAAGACCTGGCCCCAAATCCCGAGCCCTCTCTCTCCAAGGAGCCCCGCAGCCTCCCTTTGTTCTTGATTGAAGCTCCCACCATCCCATGACCTAGGGCCCCCATCTTGCCTGACCGTCCGCTCCCCGGTAAGGAGGTGGCCCCTTGAGTAGCTGTCATCAGCACAGCTCCTTGGAGAGTTGCCCTCTGGGATGCGGAGAGCATGAGGCTGTGGGCCCAGGACCCAGGATGGGCGAGTGCTGATGGGGCAGCCAAGGAAGGCCCGGAGGACAGCCTGGCAGGGGCCCCTCCCCCAGTTCCTCTGGTGCTGTGGGAGGCAGAGAAGCTGGTCCATGGTCCCTGTGGGCCACCCGTTCCATCCACTCCATCCCCCAGCCCCCCAGGCATCTGCTCTGGGCACATTGTTTGGCCTTCCAGTCACTGAGTGAACAAGACCTCTTTTCTGCCAACTAGCATTTTCTATGGCGTGTGGAGGTGAAGGAGAGGCCATTCCTGATCCCTGGCCTGAGGGCAGGGATAGCCTAGTGGTTGAATTCTGCCCCGAGGATACATCCGAGTCTTAATCCTCATAATTGGGCATGTGACCTTATTTGGAAATAGGTCTTTGCAGAAGTTATTTAATTAAGGATCTCTAGATGAGATCATCTGGGATTTAGAGTGGGCCCTGAATCCCATGACTGGTGTCTTGCTAAGAGGAAAGGGAGGCCCTGGCTGGTGTGGCTCAGTTGGTTGGGCGTTGGCCCGTGCACCTCAAGGTTGCTGGTTCAATCAGGACGTGTGCCAGGGCTGCGGCTCTATCCGAGCGGAAGGGGTGTGTGCAGGAGGTAGCCTATGGATGCTTTGCTCTCCCATCGATGTTTTTCTCTCTAAAAATAAATAGAAATAAAAATTTTTAAAATAGAGAGAGAGATCACAGACATCGAGACCCAGCGGGGAGGGGACTGGAATTAGGAGGCGCCAGGCCCAGGGATGCCAAAGGTGGCCAGTCACCACCGGAAGCTGGAGAGGCCTGGAGAGAGTCTACCTCAGGCCTCCTCTGGAGGAAACCAATGCTGCCCACACCTTGATTTCGGGCGTCCGGCCTCCAGAACTGTGAGAGAATAAATGTCTGTTGTTCTAAGCTGCCAGGTTTGTGGCCACTGGTTACAGCAGCCCAGGAGCCTAAGACAGATGTCCCGAGTCTCTGCCAAAGGTGCTGAGCAGAGAGCCATGGCGGCCTGGGGCACCGTGGCCCTGGCACGGGGGTTAGACAAGGCTTCGCAGCCAAGGTCATACTTCATGGGCCTGTAACCTCGCCAAGAAGAGATAAGGACAGGGTAGGACCTCATAGGCGAGGGCCTAAGGCAGGACCATTTGGCGTGTTGAGTGCCCAGCTAACTGGCTGGCGGGGCCTCAGCCCAGGAAGGGAGGGGGTTGTGGCAGGAGCCTAGAAGGGTGAATGGAATGGGCCCAAGGGCTGAAGGCTTTGAATGTCAGGGTTGGAGCAAAGAGAAGAGAGGTAGAAAGGTTCTGGATGGTTCCCTGGCTCCTGGAAAGCCTGCAGGGAAAAAAGCAAGAAGGGGCAATCCAGGGGGGCCTCTGAGAAGCTCCAGGGAGGCAGATATCAGCTCAGCATAAATAAGAACTTTCTCATGGTCAGTCCCTCCCCCACAACTGAGAGCATCCTTGAGAGGTAATGAGCTCCCCACCAAGGGAGGTGTGTAAACAAGAGTGCCTGCCTGGCAGAGACCTCAGCCCCAGATTAATGTTTGTTGTGGGTGGTCCCAAAGACCCTCTCTATCCTAACACCCTACCTGTTGCCTGGCTGGGCCCCTCCCCTCAGCAGCCAGCTTTGGACTTCTCAATTTCCCACTCCAGGGGTCAATTACACAGAATTACTCTGACTCAAGCCACCCACACCCTTTCCTGCCAGACTCCAGAGCCTGTCACCTGTGAAGACATGGGTGCCATCCCTTGAGGCCCAGAACTCAAAAAGAGCAGGTCGATTCTTGCCTCTTTCCCCAAAGGAAAGGCTTCAAACCTCCTGGCCTTCAAAACCCCCAAATATCTCCCAAGTGCCTCCTCCCCTCAGGGGAACAATCACTGCAGCTTTTAGTGTGCGGGTACCTGATGCTGAGTATCTCCATCTGTTAACCTCCACAGCCCTCAGAGGCAGCAAGGGGGTAAGAGCACCAAAGTCGCTGTGTGACCTTGGACAAGTCACTTACCTTCTCTGTGTTCAGCTTCCTCAAACTGCAAGCCAGAGCTCTTTTTTTAAAAAAAATATATTTTTTTATTGATTTCAGAGAGGAAGGGAGAGGGAGAGAGAGAAACATCAATGATGAGAGAGAATCATTGATTGGCTGCCTCCTGCAGGCCCCCCACTGGGGATCGAGCCCACAACCTGGGCATATGCCCTGACCGGGAATTGAACCTGTGACCTCTTGGTTCCTAGGTCGACACCTACCGCTGAGCTACACCCGGCTGGGCGAGCCAGAGCTCTTTAACGACAGTCCAGGTCCTGCCTCCACCTCAGGTTGGCAAGAGCTTACAATGTCTGATACCTGGGGGAAATGATGGCCTTCAAAATAGGAAAAGAAAAGAAAATATAAGTTAATAATTGATCATGCACAGTTATTTTGTCAACTAGTAAACTGCTTCTCAACCAAGCGTGATAAAGAATTCTACTTATTTACTGTAAAAGGTGGACTCATTTCTGTGAAGTGTTATGGGATGAGGCCTTCAGTAGTGGGAAGGACCCAGGGCCTAGGAGAGTCTTAAATGGCCCTGGCCCTCGAATTCTTTCCCCTCTTCCCCAGGCCTGGAGTTCCCTTGGCTTAGCCTTTTCCAGGGCGTGAGCACCATTGCCAATAGGTTCCTGTTAAAATAGGGCAGAATACATGTCTGAACCCTCCCCAGACCCCGAGCCACAGCTGAGGCGGCCCTCCCTCAGGGCACCCAGGCGGCCCTCCCTCAGGGCACCCAGCGGGAGGTGTCAGGACCTCATGGGCACGAGCAGGATGCATGGCAGCCACAGAAAGCATTCGGAGGTGGTGGCAGGTGTCACCAGCAGGGAGCTGGGCAGTCAGCTGACACAGCCGGAACAATCATAGCAAGACAGAGGGGCATGAGCTCAGGGCTTGGCACATGGCCCAAGAAGAGCCGGGGGACTGGCGGGTGGGTGGGGCTTGGAACTGCCCACCTCCAGCTAAATCACAAGGCCGGCTGTCTGGACACGCATCCCCCGCTTGGCTCTAAGCTGTCCTGCCCACCCCTCTGGGCCCGCACATCAGAGCTGGAGCCTGGATTTGGGCAAGGTTGCGCTCGCTCCAGAAATCATGCCATACCTTCCCCCTCACGGGAGCCCAGGATAGAGTTGGCACGGATGTGTCCACGGGGGAGGCATGAATGAGTGAAGATTCTTCTTCAGGGTAATTCTTAGGACTCTTCTATTTCTTTCTCTAGCCGGGAGGTGGCAAAGTATTTCCTCTAAATGTCTCGGTAAGCCAGAAATCACAGGTCAGATAGTCTCATTGTATTTTCTCACCTATCACTCAGCCTCTGGACTACCCTTCACCATCTGTCAGGCCACACACTTTAAGCTTCAAACACTTGCCCTACTCACTATTCCCCAACACACCAAGCT